GTTGTCCCAGGATTTGGAGGTCTGTTTGTGGGGGACAGAGAAACTGCCTCGTATGGCTTCAGGCTCCAGAGTCTCCAGAGTCCAGGGTGCCTCCTGGGGCCGGCTAGGAGTTTAGCTTGTAGCTTGCAGGCTGTGAGAAGGACAGATTATGGAACTTCTCCCTAGGAAAAGAGGGTTGGTAAAACGTGAGAGTTGGGCTGCTGAGACTTTTACAGGCCTGGCTGTGGGGGCAGCAGGCCCCCCCTAGAACTGTAGCATTTTCTTCACATTTCTAACTGGGATCTTGGACACCATGGATGTGGAGTCATGGGTCCACCCTTCCCCCTGAGGGTTACAACCAGGAGGGCAGCTTGGGGAATCCAGCTTTCTGCACGGGACCAACTCACCAGTCTGTGTGCAGAGAGAGGCTCTGGGATTGCCTGCTCACCTGTTACCTTGGAGATGGCATTTCCTCTTTGCTTCTTGATCCTATAGAAGGGCCACAGTCCCTCCCACCTCGGTCAGGCCCAAGTGTTTATTCAACAACTGTTGGTGAGATTCCTGCATCTGCCAGAACTGGGCTCCGTGCTCACCGGGATACCTTGGGGAGCAAGACAGATAGCCAGCCTTCTTAGAGTTTATAATTCAGTCTAGAGCAAAGGTTCTCAGAGTGTGGTCCCCGGACCACCAGCAGCAGCATTACCTGGGAACTAGTTAGAAATGCAGATTCTCCGGCCATACCCCAGATCCCTTGAATCGTTTAACAGCTTCTCAGGTGATTCTAACACATCCTGAAGTTGGAGCTGCTGATCTGCAGCATGGGTTCTGCACTGAGGGCAATTTCCCTCCCAGGGAACATTCGGCCATATCTGGAGATATGTTTGGTTGTCACACGGGGCGTGGTGGGGTGGGGGTGGGGGTAGGGGAGGAGGTGGAGCTGGTATTACTGGGTAGAGGCCAGGGATGCTGTTAGACACCCTACAATGCACAAGACAGGCCTCATAACAAAGAACTATCTGGTCCAAAATGTCAGTTGTGCCGAGGTTGAGAAGCCCTGCCCTAGAGCAGTTACAGTAGAGGGCAGCGAGGGCAGTGGTCCTTTTCTCCCTTTGTTCCAGATGTATTGCTCCCTGGCCACATGACCTGGGGTGAGTCATGGCCACCCCTGGCCTCAGTTTCCCCAGCTATGAAGTGAGGGGGCTGAACTCACGTTGCTGAGTTCCTCTTTAGCTTGGAGGTTCAGTGGTTCCAAGCGAGCAACTGGCCGGCCCGGGGAGGTTGGGCTGAGGCAGGCCTACTCTTCGTCTCAGGTGCCAGCTGGCCTAGAGAGGCCTTGAGGGAGGGGAGGCAGGTGAGTGCTGTGTCATCTGCCTAGTGCCACCGCCTCCGCAAGCCAGGCTGCGGCAGCCAGAGTCCAGCTGGCCTTGGCTTTCCCGGTGAGCGGTGCTTCTCCGCACTGGGGGCGACGGGGAGTCCAAGCCCGCGGCGCCCACCCTGGGAGGAGAGTCACCAGCTGGCTCCACGCCGTCGCCTGCGCCGTGCAGGGAGCTGGGCAGGCAGAGCGGCGCCTTCTCTCCTGAGCCTCAAAATTCCACTTTCCTCATACTCTGAGTAAACCAGCAGTGCTGGCCAAGGAGGGCCGGAGGCCTGAGGGTAGCCGCGGCACCGGGGTAGCCGTCCCGCCGGCGCCCGGCAGGCCCAGACTCTTCACGCCCCGGGGCTGGGCGTCTCGCTCTCCCTCCCTACCAGGGAGCGTGGGGGCGGAGTTAAAGCTAAGGGCGCGGGGGGGGGGCCCTGAACTCTGATTGGTCGGGCTCTGAGGCCACGCCTCTTCTCGGAGCTCGCTGACCTCCTTCCTCGTGGACGCGCAGCTCCTGTGCACCAGCAGGGCGAAGGTCTTGTTTATTGTTATTTAATTTTTCGGGAAAAAAATGTGCAGGCCTGAGAGACCCACTCGGGTAGACGGCCGAGGCCCGCGTGCAGTCGTGGCTCTCCTGTGCTCTGAGGGTCCCAAAGAGCAGGTATGAAGGCTTGAGGCTGAAAACATGCTGAAGGGAGACAAGATGGGATGGGGGCGGGGTTGGCAGGAGCAACATGTCCAATTTGAACTACAAATTCTAATCCTCACAAGTGCGATGCGATTTGGGGCAAGTCCCTTGCCTGCTCTGATTCTTACCTTAAGTGAAAAGGAAAGTCAAGTTCAATGAATTTTGACTCCTTAGTGGGTGGATTTGTATGGGCCATGGTTTATCACATCCCTGGAAAGCCCACCTGCAGACGGTCAATGCCTGTTACACCTGGCTAACCTAGAGCGCCTTACTTTCTGTGCGTTTAGTACCCGCTATTAAATAAAGGGCGGTTAATAGGTGGCAAATTAACACACTGCAGTAAAGCTTGCTTTGTAATCTGAGATCAGTGGCTCTAAAGCGCCCTCCTTGAACCAAGGACTAGTATTCTTATTATCTTAATTAGGATGCAAGAGAAAGGGCTTTAAACTTTCTCCTTGAATCTGTTATGTTGCCCTGGGCCGTGGCCCATCATGGTGCCCCTTGTCCTGGTTCCCTGAGTTTAGATGCAGTGCTTGAACACTGATCATTTCAACATTCTCTCTCGTGGTTCTGTTTTCTGTCGAAGTCCGGGGACGTAACTACGCTGCACACACATCAGATCTGCTAAGTTGGTAGGACCCAGCAATTATTAAAAGGCAGTGGGGGGGGGGGGCTTCCCGGGTGGTGCAGTGGTTAAGAACCTGCCTGCCAATGCAGGGAACACGGGTTCGATCCCTGGTCCGGGAAGATCCCACATGCCATGGAGCAACTAAGCCCGTGTCCCACAACTACTGAGCCTGTGCTCTAGAGCCTGGGAGCCACAACTACTGAGCCTGTGCTCTAGAGCCTGTGAGCCACAACTACTGAGCCCGCGTGCCTCAACTACTGAGCCCACATGCCACAATTACTGAAGCCCGCACGCCTAGAGCCCGTGCTCCGCAGCAAGAGAAGCCACCTCAATGAGAAACCCGCACACAGCAACAAAGTGTAGCCCCCGCTCGCTGCAACTAGATAAAGCCCACGCGCAGCAACGGAGATCCAATGCAGGCAAAAAAACCTAAAAAACAAATAAATTAAAAATTTTAAAAAGGCAGTGGGGAGTGAGGGTGGTGCCTGCAGCCACCCCACCTCTCCTGCAGGCCCCTAGCAGGTGTCTGGGTGCAGAACTCCACAGCTCTGCTTCCCTGGCTGCTTCCCAAGGAGCTGATCAAAGGGTGAGAACTCAGAGCTCATGTGGACAAGTGAAAGCACTGGGATAATTCTGTGCAGAAAAGGGAAAGTTGGGCATTTATATCCCAGCAGCAAGTGACAACCGTGCTCTTGGCCTCTCTGATCTTGACAACATCCTGCAAATTTTATCTTATTTGCTTCTACTGCGTATGCTGATTTCACAGATATTGACAAAGTGCCTTTCTGGGCAGGCATTATGCTGGGCACTGGGGTCAGGGCAGGGACCAGGATAGACACAGTCCTTGCCTTCCCAGCTCCGGACTATTGTGTCGTGACCCTCCCACTGGGTGAGCTGTGTCCATCTGCTCCTGCTGCTGCGGGCAGCTCTGCTCTCTGCATTCTGCCTTTTCCCACATGCTCCGCAGTGCCCCACAATCCCTAAGCCTAGTCCTGCCTTCGAATACCACAGAGACTAGCAGCTGGCTTTTCTCCATCTTCTCAAAGGGTAGGATTTCCTGGCAGGGACAGAGCGTCTCTCTGTGGGAGGCGGGAGAAGCCTGTGCATGTTTTCTTTTCTTGGCAGGAGCAAACCTCAGAGCCTCAGCAAGCCCCCAGCAGAGTCCTGTGGCAGATAGAGGGCACCCTAGGGTGGGTTTGCTAGCAGCGTCCTCCTCCTGCCCCAGTTTTCCAAGGGAGAGTCCGGATGGTCCTGGGAAGCGGATCTGCTGAGGCCTCACCTGAGATCCATGCTTTCTCCTCCAGTTGGGTCCTGACTGCCCTGCATCCAGCAGACCCTCTGCTGGCTCAGGCCCGAGGACGGTGCCCGTATTCACGCACATTTCTCTGAATGTGAACCTTCGGGGCGTTACTCCCCTGGGAATGTGCAAGATGAGGAGCTAGATAATAATGCTGGGCCAGTGTCAGCCTGGTATTGGTTTGCAGGAACTAAGTTCTCTCTTCCCCTTCTGAGAAAAAAGCAGGGGAATCAGACTATTGAGGGTTAAAAGAGCTCAGTTGATAGGAAATGTAATAGGCAAGGCTATAGAGACAGAAGGTAGATTAGTGGTTGCTTGGGGCCTGGGGTGGTGTGAGGGTCAAAGCGGGGTGATAGCTAAAGGGTACAGGGTTCCTCTTTGTGGGGATGAAAATGTTCTAAAATTGTGGTCATGGTTGCACATATCTGTGAATATACTAAAAACCACCGGGTTGTACACCTTAAACAAGTGAATTACATGGTATATGAATTATATCTCAATAAAGCTGTTGACAACCAACTGAGATATGTAGCCATGTTTGGGCCATTGAACACACCCCCACCCCGAATGAACTTAACTTCCCAGCTCTTCAGACCTCCCCTCTTACCCCTTATGGGTACCCTGAGGACAGGCCCCCCTCAGAGAGAGACAGCAAGGGGCAAGCATGGCTCTGTCTCCTCTCCTGAGCCCACCACTCAGAGAAGTCCCTGTGCCTCCCGTTGGGGAGGGTGTCACGAGGGTGGAGAGAAGCTTCTCAGAGGCCCCTCAGAGAACCATGAGGCCTCAGAAATGCAGGCCCACCACCCAGGGCTGTGCGGAAGCCAACGCAGCTTCACCTTTTCCAAATTTGATTCACGAATTTCATAGCTCAGTTAGGATTATGGGTGATTTTTGTGTCTTTTTCTGTTGTTTTCCAATTTTTCCATACTATGCTTATAATATTTTTTTTTTAGGTCAAAAGTACCTAAAGTCGAGGGTTGGGTGGGAAAGAAGTTGGGGATCTGGTGTTTCCGGCCAGAGGTCAAGGTGGATTCTGTCCCCCTTGCAGGAGTCATGTGGCTGGAAATACTCCTCGCCTCAGTGCTGGGCTTTGTCATCTACTGGTTCGTTTCCAAAGACAAGGAGGAAACTTTGCCACTTGAAGATGGATGGTGGGGGCCCGGGGTGAGGCCCACAGCTGGGGAGGATGAGAGCATCCGCCCGTTCAAGGTGGAAACGTCAGAAGAAGAGATCAATGTAAGGCACCTCTTTCCAGGCGAGGGAGCAGAGGGGAGCACGGGGGGGGCCCCTTCTGGGGCTGCGCCTCAGGCTGGGGCTGGGATGGCGAGGGGCTAGGGAAGTGCTCCTCTGGGGGGGGTGTTTTTCGCCTACTCTTCTCTCATTGGGCTCTCCCGCTCTGCCTACCCGTCCCTTCTGCTCCTTCCCTCCCCTGTTTCCGCCTTCCCCTTCCCAAGGCCCCAGCAGTACCCAGGCCGGCGAGTGGGTGCCAGCCGGACCCAGGGGTCACAGAAAGCAGCTGGTTTTGCCTCCTTGGTGCCCCACCTGAAGCCCTGGGAATGAGCTTGTCGGCTCAGGGCCTGGGTGGAGATCGTGAGTGAAAAGCAAGGCCGTGGTGACATAAATGCTGCCGCACAGAGAACCTGGCACAGGGCCAGCCGTGGCCAGGCACCTACTGTGTGTCAGCCCCCTTGTAGTCACATGCAGTCCCTGCGGTCATACAGAAAGTGAAGCTCAGAGAGGCAAAGCAACTGACCCAAGGTGACCGAGATAATAAGCAGAGGGTTTAAACTCAGATCTGTCTAACTCCAAAGCCTAGGCCTGTCCTCTGCACGGGGCTGGAATCAGGATGGATGGACACGATCATGGGGTGGGCTGATCTGAGAGCGAGGCTTGAGCAGGGCCAGGAGGGTGGGTGGGACCTGGGATGTCCCTACTCATCCTTTTTTTCATTTTGTGGGTGTGGGAGCACCTCCTGTGTGCAGGCCCTGTGCTGGGTGCTCGGAAGAAGAGGGAGAGCCTTCCCTCAAAGAGCTCCTAGTCCAGCAGTTGAGAAACGTTAATGATTAACAGAGATAAGTGCGGTGAGATAAAAAGTCATGGGAGCGCTGAGGAGGACGGGATTAAAGAGCGGAGACAGCTGTACCCAAGAGAAGCCAGACTGAGGCTCCCTTGGTAGCACTTGACAAGGTGTCACTATTGACGACAGAGGCTGAGCCCTGTTGATACCTCCTTTAGTGGGTTCCTAGGCTCAGCGTCTGACATTCCTAAAATCTGTGTGGAGGTTACTGCAGTGCTTGGGAGGACACTCTGGGAAGGGTAACACTTGAGAGGCTCCGTGGACCAACTTGAGCTTCCCCAGCTGGGGCTGCTCTTTCAGCTTGATGCACGCCTGCCCGTGAGACTTGTACCTTCTCTCCGGGTCTGTCATTTTTATCCTAACTCAGTTAGGATATACTGTATCATTCAGTGCTGTGTATCAGAGTCAGCAAATCCATCCTGCCACCTGCTGTGTTTTTTTTGTTTTTTCTTTAATTAATTAATTAATTTATTTATTTATGGCTGTGTTGGGTCTTCGTTTCTGTGCGAGGGCTTTCTCTAGTTGTGGCGAGCGGGGGCCACTCTTCATCGCGGTGCGCAGGCCTCTCACTATCGCGGCCTCTGTTGTTGCAGAGCACAGGCTCCAGATGCACAGGCTCAGTAGCTGTGGCTCACGGGCCCAGTTGCTCCGCGGCATGTGGGATCCTCCCAGACCAGGGCTCGAACCCGTGTCCCCTGCATTAGCAGGCAAATTCTCAACCAGTGTGCCACCAGGGAAGCCCCACCTGTTTGTTTTTGTTAATTTAATTTTTATTTTATATCAGAGTATAATTGATTTACAAGGTTGTGTTAGTTTCAGGTGTACAGCAAAGTGATTCAGTTATACATAGACATATATCCATTTTTTTTTCAGATTTTTTTTCCCATATAGGTTATTGCAGAATATTGAGTAGAGTTCCCTGTGCTATACAGTAGGTCCTTGTTGATTATCTGTTTTATATGTAGTCTGCCACCTGCTTTTGTACAGCTCCCATGCTAAGAATAGTTTTTACATCTTTAAATGGATGGAAAAAAATTAAAAGAAGAATAATACTTTGTGATGTGTGGAAATTACGTGACATCAAATTTCGGTGTCCATAAATAAAGTTTTTTTGGAACACAGCCATGCCCATTTGTCCATGTACCATCCATGGCTGTTTCCACACTACAAGGGCAGAGTGGAGTAGGTGCAGCTCAGAAAGCCTAAGATATTTATGATCTGGCCCTTTACAAAAAAGTTTGCCAACCCTTGCTGTATATAAGTCTCAATAAATTAAAGATCTGTATTGTTCATACATTTAAAAACTGAAAGATGAGAAGCAAACCTGAAGTCGAAAGTGAAGAACATATGTTTGGGGAACAGCCACCGCTGTGGGAAGGTTTCTTCTGGGATAAACCTAACAACCCAGAGCGCAAATGTGCAGACCAGGAGTCTCCTCACCTTGTCTGGTGAAACTTTGCTTTGCCTCTGCTATACATATTATATATAATATATATTAATATAATTATATAATGCATATTATATATCATATATATTAACTATATTAATATATATAATTAATATATAATATATATTACATATAATATATAGGATATAATAATATAAAATATATATAATATAAAATAAATATACAAATTATAAATATATAAATAAAATATAAAATATATAATATACATTTTATGTAATATAATAATGTTATAAAATATATAATATTTGGGTCTTGTGGCTGCAGGGTTTGGAACTGTCTTCTGGAAACAAACTTTCTCTTGTGCTCTGCCTCATTCACCTTCTCTACTTGGGGTCCTGCATTTTGCTCCAGGATTTACACCAGAGGATTGATAAGGTCCGTTTAACCCCACCTTTGGAGGACAGCCGCTTCCACTACGGTTTCAACTCCAACTATCTGAAGAAAATCATCTCCTACTGGCGGAATGAATTTGACTGGAGGAAGCAGGTGGAGAGTCTCAACAGATACCCTCACTTCAAGACTAAGATTGAAGGTATGTTTCCAGGACACCAGCTGGAGGGGGATGTATATCACAGGAACGGCCTTCTTAGGTACTGGACGTGACTTAGGGACTTCCCTGGTGGTCCAGTGGTTAAGACTCTGCGCTTCCCCGCAGGGGCATGGGTTCCATCCATAGTCAGGGAACTAAGATCCCACATGCCTCCCAGTGCGGCAGAAAAAAAAAAAAAACAACCTTCCTTAGACACTGGACATGACTTAGATAAAGCCAGGAGACCCAGAATTCAATTATTGGTCCCTGAGATGTATTTGGAAGGTATAACGCCACGAGGATGCAAAAATAATGCAGAATCCCAACAAATCCAATGGTCTTTTAGAGCTAAACAGGAAAACATATAAATAAATTAAAAACCAAAGAAATGCACAGTCCACTTCAGTGATGGAACAGTCTCTGAGAGGATAGAGATAAGATTTAGATCTGGGCGTGGCCTCGGTCAATCAGCCCCTCCTTGAAGCTTTGGAGTCCATGATGCTGTGACTGTTCAAGGGTGCTCAGCCTGTCAGTCAAGGTCCAAATAAAAACTGTCCTGTCTCTGCAGCTCTAGATCTCCTGTCCCAACAGTATCACAGGTTGTCACCCAGCTTCATCTGGAAGGGAAGGTATTTCTCAAAATGTTCTTGGGAAAGTAACCTAAGATCATTTAGGATGAGATAATAGTTTCCTAAGTGGAAAAGCATTTTTTTAGCCCCAGAAAGATTTAGAATCAAATATAGAAATGCTTAAGAAAATCAAACTCATGCTGTTAATTTTTACAGATTTGTCTGTTTTTAATTATAATAAAATACACATAACATAAAGTTGACCATTTAAACCATTAAGTGTACATTGTTATGTGTAACGCCACAGTGGAGTAAGTACTTTTATATTGTTATCCAGCCAGCACAGCCATCTATCTTCAGAACTTTTTTTATTTTGCAAAACTGAAACTCTGGGGACTTCCCTGGTGGCACAGTGGTTAAGAATCCGCCTGCCAGTGCAGGGGACACGGGTTCGAGCCCTGGTCCGGGAAGATCCCACATGCCACGGAGCAACTAAGCCCGGGTGCCACAACTACTGAGCCTGCGCTCTAGAGCCCGTGAGCCACAACTACTGAGCCTGCGTGCCACAACTACTGAAGCCCACATGCCTAGAGCCTGTGCTCCGCAACAAGAGAAGCCTCTGCAGTGAGAAGCCTGTGCACCAGCAACAAACAGTAGCCCTGGCTTGCCGCAACTAGAGAAAGCCCGTGTGCAGCAACAAAGACCCAACGCAACCAAAAAAAAAATTAAATTAAATCTGAATCTTCAGCAAACAAGAGCTATTTCAAGTATTTTTTCAAAGCCAGTGAATGTGAATTACACATTTACCTTCAGTAAAGATGGACAGATATAACTAAACTATCCGCTGCCTTTGCTTTTACCTAGAACCATTTCTATCCAGCATGGTGAAGTGTGATGTGCTTTGAAGCCAGATGAAATCTGGCTTGAGACCTGCAGACTGCTGGCCAGAGGCAAGAAACCTGTCCTCAAGAGGACATCATAGAAACCTCATTGGTATTGGTGTTGGTGAGGATATGGTCTCTGCAGGTTCTAACACCTGTGTGGCAAGCTAAGCCTGAGCTTCCTCTGCTGGGAAATATGCAGCCCCCTTGCAATGCTCATTTTCACCGAGGAAAAGCCAACATCCTTACAATGATGAGCAAGCCCTATACTTGACCTGCCTCTCCTTACCCTCTCTGACCTCACCTGGAACTATTCTCCCCTTCTCTTTCCTCTCCAGCCCCACCAGCCTCCTCACACACACCAGATTGGCTCCAACCCCAGGACCTTTGCACTTGAAGTCTGCTCTCCCTGGACTGTTCTACCTCAGGTATCCACTTGGTGAACTCTCTCACTCCAAGTCCTTGCTCAAACATCACTCTCTCCATGAGGCCCGCCCTGCAGCCCACCTCTCACTCCCCAACCCAGACTTTCTAATCCCTCGCCCTTTTTCTTTTGTCCATGTCCACTGCTCACCTCTAACACACAGTATACTTATTTATTACATACAGTTTTATTTCCTGTCCGATGCAGACAAGCTCCCCGTGTAAGCTCCGGGAGGGAGCTCACCCACTGGTGACGGAGGAATCGCCACCGACGCAGCAGGGGCTCCAAGTCTACACACAGATCCCTCAGAAGCCCTGGCCCCCTGCAGCCCTACCCTCATCTCAGACCACCTCGTCTGTGTGCTTTGGATTAAACTACGTGCTAGAAAACGAGTGTGTCTCGACCTGAAAATGCAGTTTGGTCGTGTTTTTTAAGTGAAAGTTAGTTTGAAATGCCTAAAAGCCGCAGTTCACACGAAATCCTTCAAAACGTGCGGTTTTTACAGGTTTTAAAGAAAAACTCTTTTGTTGCTATTCAAAAACTGGGGAAATTGAGACGAGGGTATCCCAAAGGGTTAGTTTCTGCGAGTTAAAATATAAAAATAAAACGGTGGG